AGGTGGTCAATATGCACGAGGGTAATACCCTGAATCGTGCGCTGCATTGTCAGTACCGCTTTGCCTTGAACTGCTGAGTTGACCATTCTTCTACTAATGGCGGTTATCCAGAATCGCCCCAGCTCTGAAGGGACTGGAAGCGATGATGCCCGATTGCGCAATCGCTTATCTTCTTACAGGCATGTTCCGCGCTCATTTGATATTCTTTTAGTAGTGAGTACAAAGTAGTGAGCGTGGAGGTGTATCACCTTTGCAGGCTGAGAACACGTAAGAAGCACCCGCTCGCAGCGAAGCCTCCGCCTCACCCACCGCCACCGCAACACCCCTACTCTCATTGCGAAAAGCTTCCAGAGCTGAGGCTGTCTCCCTACTAGCTCTCTAAGAAAATGAGGTGATGAGGAGAAAGGACTTACACCAACAAATGCAAACTTCGCCCAATCACGTTCTTCCTTCACCTTGTACATACAAACGCGGTTCAGTATGGGGTTCTATGTGGGGCATTTCGGGCAGGTTTTTCTGCTTTTTCTTCGCTCTTGTGTTATCCACCATCTCTTCATTAGTATGTGAGCCGCACTTCTCACCGTTTTTTGGAGCGAGCGTGCCTTTCAACGCAAAAGCAAAAGCATTAAGGCTGCGTTCATACTTTGCGGCAGCGTCTACCTAGCGACCAATAGCGTCCACCAGCGTTCCGAGCGTCCGGCAGCGTCAGCGACCAGGAAAGTATAGATATTGATCTAGCGTCCGTCAGCGTCATCCAGCGTCTACCAGCATCCACCACGTCTTGAGGGCCAGGGAAGTACAAGTATCCATCTAACATTGCAAGCGTCTGTGAGGGTGCCCCAGCGTTTACCAGACAGCTGCTAGGTAGAAGGAGGCAGAAGGGTGGCAGACTGACTAGAGAATATGGCGCGATAGGAGTGTCGCAGACAGCTGGTCGAGTATGAGGAGATAAGAGGTTGGTGGACTGTTGTTAGAGAGTATGGCGCAATTGGAAAGTAACAGACAGCTGGTAGACTATGGAGAGATAGGAGTGTGTAGCAGAGTGCTGGCAGAGAGTATGGCGCGATAGGAGGGCCGCAGACAGCTGGTAGAATATGGGGAGATAGGAGAGTGATAGACTGCTGTTAGAGAGTATGGCGCGATAAAAGAGTATC